TCTCACCACTCCGCTTGTTGGAAAAGCCAGGCTTCCCTATAGACAGAGTGGGAGAGAAGATGGAGGCGATGAGTCTCCGTCCTCAAGCTTTGCTAGCGCTGCCTGGGGAGATGTTCTAGCTTGGCTCCCCTTTCTCTGCTAAGGGCAGAATTTGATTAGTTGAATAGGACTGTTGTTGAGAACAACCTTAGATTCTATGTGAGGCAATACACCTGGAGCCCCAAACCAGTTCCTGGTACAGCTTTCAACCAGTGATTTGTGGGTGCTTTGAAGATTTTTAGCAGAACACCAAAGCGTGGATTCAAGAGTGTGGCTGTTCTCTCCTTGGTCCTAGAATTACCTTTAGGGCCCCTGGGGCCACGCTGCCTCTGGTATGAGGAGGAAAGGCATCTCTCCTGCCATCTGGAGACCTCAGAGGTGCTATGGTACTGGTGGGGAACGGAGAATAGATCCGAATAGGATTATTCTTCAGGAATAAAAGCTGGTGAAATTTTACTGTGGCTTTGGATATGCTTGAGATCCCTTTCATCTAATTTTTGTTTTCCATTTTGGGATGAGAGCCTATGTTGATTCTACGTTGATTTCATCTATGTGGTAAGCAGATAACTTACTTGGTTTCCCAAGATTCTAGTTAGAGAAGAATTTTGCATCGTGTCACCTTCCAATAGCACTCACACCTGACTAGACCATATTTCTGTGATATCTGAGACTATGTGTTGACACTGGAATGTGTTGAAACTTTCAGGGCTGTTAGAATGGAGTGAATGTGTTTTGCATACAAGAAGGACATGAGTTTGGGGAACTAGAGGCCAGAAATGTATGGGCTGGATACTGGATGGTGTCCTCTCCAATTCCTTACCATACTACTTCAGTACTTGCCTATGTTTGGAGATAGGCCCAAGGTAAAATGAACTTAGGTAACAAGAGTTTTAGGATGCAGACAATACACAGACCAAGAGCAAAGATAGACCACAGTGAGAGAAAGGTCATCTATAAACCAAGGGGAGAGGCCTTAGAAGAAGTCAACTGAATAACTCCTAGATCGTGGACTTTAAAACTAAACAATAGTAAGTTTATTGTGTTTTTTTTTCCATCCAGTGTATCATATTTTGCCCTAGCATGCTAAGATTACCAATCAGAAACTATGATAGAAATTTACAATGTAAGGTAGCCAGGACTTCTGGATTATCAGAGCAAATGCCCTTGGGCCCTCCCACAGTTACCTAGGCCCTAAAAGGTGTTGTTGCAGTCCAAGTTATTCACGAGACAATGTGTCAGCTTTTGGTCTTGGCTCTGCTGCCCAGAGAGGGTCAGAGTTCCTCTGGGGTTCATTTCCTTAGTGTCATTTCAGAGTTGTCTGCTCAGGGAACTGCACTGCCCACATCTCTCATCTCTGGACCGCAGCTTTGTCTCATATTTGTGAAACTCAAGGCCTTGTGGGTTATTTCTGAGTTGCCCCCACAGGAGTTCTGAATCTCAGGCTTTGGGGGAGTGGTGTTGATGAGGTAATGTTGTAAGGCGAATCATCCCAGAGGCCACATTTTGAAATATGAAATATTGGAGTCTTTATTGCAACACTAGCAGTCTGCAGGTCGCCTGTTGTTACAAAGGCCTGCAGCCCCCAAATACACATAACTCCACTAGGAAACATGCTAGAGAGGAAAGAAAGAACAAAAACAATACCAACAAGCCAATTCAGCTCGATGGAGATGCCATGATGACCATAGATGAGCCAGGACACAGGAGACAGGACACAAGAGTAGATCACAGAGACACGTGGCCTGGTGTAATGATGCTGGGCTGGTCCAGACCTAAACAGGGTCTGAACAGGAGGCAGGACCACAGGAAATTCCCAGTCCCAAGCACTGGGCTGATAGATTTGGTCAGCCTATCAGCCAAATGCCCACCCCTGTCACTAGGGATCCAGGCATGCCCATCACCTGGGAGGTAGGTGATGGGTGGGGGCAATTCCTTCCCCCAACATGAAGACAAGATGGCAGACCCTACCATCCCATGGCCAATATGGCACCAGCCAGCCATGACCTCCTTACTTCAGTAAAAACCAACAATGAGTGTGCTTTAGGGACCCAGTGTAGCTATACATATTGTGGTCCATGTGTATTTCCTGCCCCTTGGCATCTGAGTTTAGAATAGAGCAGCGTGGTACCCCATGGCCTACTCACCATGCAAAGAACTGAATAAATCTCATACCTTTAACTCTTAAGGAGGAAGAATATAGCATTTCCTTTCTTTATTGCAATGAAAAAAAATCCAGTGAACAATAACAACAACAAAAACCCTGGAATTAACTACTTCAGCTAACCAAGTCACTTGTATTTACTTCAGTTAAGACCTATGGATGAACAATTTCTTTCCCTGGTAAGAGCAAATGAGCAACTTTCCTGTCTGGGAAAGAGGAGTTTGGCACTGACTATGAATCAGATTTTGACGCTCTTTAGAAGGCTATGGTCAATTAATTCCATGCATTTGTACTATGTGTCTTAAAACAAGTTCCTCTTTGTCTTGCTCAGGTAAACCTCTTTAATTGGCTCCACCACGATGCTGTCCTAACAAAATTCATAGGGCTTAATCATTTTCCACCTCTCCTAGTTGTCAATATTGATTCTCCTCTTTGCCTATGTCTACCACCTGCAGCTACCCGTGCACTTCAGTCCTCTGTAGATTTAGCTTTTCCAGACATTTCATCCAGATGGAGCCATAAAATATGTGATCTTTTTTACTTTTCGTTTGTTTGGTTTAGCATAATGTTTTGAAGTTGAACCGTGATATAGCTAGGACATGTTTTCCCTTTTTTATTGACAGATCAGCCACCGTGTTGATTTCTTTTTAAAAAATAAATTCAGCACTACGATTCCCTTTCTTTATATATGGTTAACACTCAATGAGTGACAGCACATGTGTGTTACTGAAGAGACAGTCCCATTCCCGGGGATGGGTGGGGATTGGCAATGACTCTGGGCAGTTTGTTTTCTGGGACCAGAGAGTACATCCTGAATGTGAACACAGATATTGTCATGTATCCTCTCATGGAAAGTGTTGGTTCCCCTTTCCCAGGACCTTTGCCACGAAGACACAAGGAACTGAAATATTCATCATTTCTACCCTTCCATACACATAGGCAGTTTGGCTACTATCTTACTATTCTTGAGGTCCTGGTAGAACATGGTATATTGTAGTGTTCAGGAGGTCACAAAAGCAGAGAAGGATTCTGAATAAACAAGTGCAAAGAATGGAAAGATACCTTAGAACCTTTGGCCATCAGATTGCTGACACCCTTCTCCAGTCAATAGTTAGAGCACTGTCCAGACAACATTCAGGTCTCCTTCAAAATATTTTGGAGTCTCTTGCAAAACCTTTTGCTCTGTGTTCCTTGAGTCCAGGGTAGACACTCATGGAACACTGACAGAATTTGTCTCAGGACATGCACCGTACAAAGCAGCTCTACTGCTGCATTGTGGCAAAAACTGCAAGGTTCTCCACAAACCCTTTCTTAATTTGTTCAGTGATTTTTGCTAGTGGTGGGATCTTTATCAGAGTGTGAGAAAGTATTTTGTATTCATGAGTATCAGACGTGAACTGACACTGTCAAAAGAATAGCAGAGGTAAACAAAGCCAAAAAGTAAAGGAAGGAAAGGGGAAGAACGTTGAACTGAATTGTATTTCTCAGCCTTCTGGCTCAGGGCACATGCCTTGTTTACCTCTGTCATGATCTTCTCAACTATTAGTCATGACAAAATTCATATGTATCTTTGGGCCTGGCTTACTTCACTCAATGGTCAGATAAGTTGATGTTAGGTGAAATGAACCCCAAGATAAGTATTCAAATGTTTTTTCTTTCTTGTGATTGTTTCTAACATATTTATAAGATGATTTCTTTGTTGCTTTGTATGTCCTTCCCCTATGGTATAACCCCTGCTCTCGCTGTATTTGATGTTGGTATAATTTGTGGAGAGGAAGGGAAAAAACAAATCATTTAAATAGGGATACAGGTGGACCCATTGCAACAATGAGATGTACAAGACGTTATGTTGAACTTTACAACTTTGGCGGGGGGTGGGGGGAGGATTTAGAAGGGATAAGGTGATGGGGAGGTGGGAGATGGGAAGGGATGGGAAGGGGAAACAAAGGAGGAGGCATCAATGCTTGATAAGAAATGTACTCATTACCTTGCCCGTGTAATTGTAACCCCTCTGTACGGTATTTTCACAATAAAAAGTTCATATGTAAAACTTAACCTTTGAACTAATATTCTTCCTTTCTAGTCCTTATTCTTCAAATTATTTTGTAAAAGGAAATCTTCAGTTTTGACTGTAGCCTGCATTGCTGGAATCAACAGACTGAAAATCTGAGTAGCAGGAAAGTAAAAATTCATATTCTGAAGTGCAGCCATGCTGTGAGATCTTGTATATCACCGACTTTGCTGTTCAGGACGAAAGCCATGAATGTCATTTCAAGTTAAAGGAATAAAAACCAGGATGGAAGGAGAACTTTTATTTCACCTCATTAAAATTACTAACATTGTTCATTTAAACATATGACAAATAGTTATGAGGAGGTAACTTTAGATCATCTTAAGTACAGATCTGAAAACACGATAATTGTGAAACAAAGGTTGAACTTTTTAAAAATCGTAAATCACTGTTTCCCAAATCAATTATATCATGATTAAAATACTTTAGTTATAAGTAAATATTCTAACAGTCATGTTTATATACATAGATATATTTAAAATTAATTTAGTTACTTAAGCTGAAACTTTTATGGATGATTTAAATTTTTTAGATGATTACATGACACAGTCATCAAAATACTGCAGTTACATAAAGACTGAAACAGGCCATCAGTAAACCATTGGATTTGGGGGTGGTGATTATACAAAGGCTCATTGTTCATTTATCTACCTTTTTCACACATTTGAATTTTACCATAATAAAATTTAATTACCTGAATTAGCCTTAAACACCTCTTTGGTCATGCTTCTAAATAGTAAAATACTGTTCACCATGTTTGGGCACAAATTTTCCCTCCAAAGAAATACCAAATATAGTTTTAAGCACTTCTTCAATTTCTTCTTCTTTCAGAGTCTCAAACACTACCAGATCTACATTGTCCTTATAATTAAATTTTCTATAGGTGAGGGTGTAGCCCACTAAAACATAAACACCTTCTAAGGTCTGCAAAGAACAAAATGATGTGTTCTTCATCACACAGGTTGGAGATTCCTGAAGGTAACTATTCACTGACTCAAATTCTTCAATTTTTCGAGGTTCAAGAGTAAAAGAATAGACTTTTTGGTATTTATTTTTGTCAAGGAGTTCAGAATCGATGAATTCTTCATTTGGCACATATTGCTCTCTTTTGATTTGGTCCATGTACCAGACTCCATTCTCTTCTGTTAGTCGGAAGATGGAAGGCACCTGAGGCTGGTCCTTTCCAGAAACTAATTCCAGAGGCTCCCACATCTGATTGGAGCAGCCAAATGCAGCATCAACAATGTAGTTTTTGTTACCGAGGGTCACATGAAGTAGAAGGTGAACCATTGTGCTGCTATATTTGCTGACTGGAGGGATATAAACGCATGCTCCCAGTATTCTGGTCTCAAAACCCACTGTGGTCAGAGCCCAGTAGAGAAGCTGATTAGACTGGAGACACCATCCACCCCTGTTCTTCCTTACAATATCCTCAAAAACATCTTCTAAGCCCATAGTCATGGGCAGTCCACAATGCATGTTAAAGTTCTCAAAGGGAATGGTTCGGATATGATGCTGAAGAATGCTGGTTAATGTTTCCAGATCCAGTTTGTTCCTAGAGTTCTTATAGCCAATCCTCTCAAAATATGCTTCAATATCCATGGTTATCTGGAACAAAACTAACCCAAACAAAACAAACACAATTACACTTGTACTTGGAAATCTGAGTATAGATAATAGATTATAGATATGGGTAAACTGGTTGCAACAGGTAACTTCAAATGTTGTATAGTTAATTTTGGTGTGCAGTAATAGGGTTTGAAGTCAGGGTTTCATGCTAAATACATGTTAAGCACCTGAGCCACTCAAGTTTGGTTTGGGTGCTTTTTAAAAACATGGTCTCTAGTTGGGCACTGGTGTCTCATACCTGTAATCCTAACTACTCAGGAGGCTGAGATCTGAGGATTATGATTCGAAGCCAACCCAGGCAGGAAACTCCATTAGACTCTTATCTCTAATAAACTACTCAAAAAAGCCATGGCTCAAGTAGGAAAGCCCTCATCTTGAGCCAAAGAAACTCAGGGTCAGTGTCCAAGTCCAGATGTCAAGCCCCAGGACTGGCAAAAAAATAATAATAATCTCCTGCTTTTGCCTGTGGCTGACTGTGGACATTGACCCTCCTACTTATGTCTTCTTCATTTCTGGGATTACAAGCCTGTGCCACCATGCATGGCTTATTTATTGAGCTCGATCTTATAAACTTATTGCCAGGGCTAGCTCTGATCTGTATTTTCTACCTCTTTCTTGAATGGTTTGGATTATAGGTTGAACTATGATCCAAATTTTATTTGGAAATTTTATTTCTTTTGAAATACTGCTATTTGTTTCCATGTTTGTTCCCTCCTACACCTCTGTATATCTTTCTTCTCCATTCATCTCATACTCTTCTTCTCTACTCCTTGAAATGAATTGGAATTTAGTAACTACAGATCCATTTGAATTCAATTTGTTATTGTTATGGAATTTGTTTTTAACAACATACTATGTCCAACTTGTTCGTGGATTATTGTGACTAAACATAAGAATTGTTTCTTAGGCAATTTGCTCCAGGAAAGTTAGAATGAACTTGTGACTTTAAATGAGCATCATTATTCCACAATATTGTGAAATTCCGGAAATTATGT